AGAAATCAGTAATATAAATATATATGGAAAAGCCCCAAATAATAGAAATTAGTAACATGTTTTTTACGGGTAAAATAATTTTAAAAGTGGGGGTGGATATTAGAAAGTATTTCAAACTGCATAATTTGTGAGATATAATTAGAGCAGTTTTTAGAGGTAAATATTAAGACTTTAATGCTAATATTAGAAAAGAGAAAAGGGCTAAAATCAATCACATAAGGTTCCAAAACCTGAAAAATAGGAGCAAAATAAATGATGAGAAGGTAGAAAGAAGATAGTTTCATTGGTGAATTCTACCAGACATTTAAGGAAAAACAAAACAATATCAATCTTATACAAATTCACACAGAAAATACAGGAGGAGGAACAACTTCTGACTTATTTTATGAGCCCAAGATTACCCTGCTACCGAAGCCTGACAAAGGAAAAGTACAGGTCAACATTTCTCATAATCATAGATAGAAAATCCTTAATAAAATATTAGCAAATTAAATTAATATAAAAAAGATAATATGTCCTGACCAAGTTGGGTTTGTCCCAAGAATGAAAGACGTGTTAACATTAGAATATTGATCAGTATAATTCATCATGTTAACAGAATAAAGAAGAAAAACCATTTTCAATAAATGCAGAAAAAATGTTTGATAAAATTCAATATTAAATCATGTTAAAATCTCTCAACACATTAGGAATAAAAGGGAATTTCCTGAATTTGATAAAATTCACATATGAAAAAGATATAGCTAACTCCACACTTAATGGTGGAGGACCAAATGTTTTCTCCCTAAGTTTGAGAACAAAGTAAGGATCTCTATTCTCATCACTTTCATTCAACATCTTCTTGGTTAACCTAGTCAGTGTAATAAAGTAAGTGAAAGAAATAAAAGTATATACTGCAGAAAGGAAGAAGTAAAGGTTGTTCATGTAGGAAGTTTAGAACAATCTATAAAACAACTATTGGAACTAATGAGGGAATTTACATGTTTGCAGGATACAAGATGAATATAAAATTAATTTACTTTTGTATACAATCAGCAAATGATAGAAAATTTAAATATCAAAATTCAATTTTTTTAAAAAAATCCTCACCTGAAGATATTTTTCTATTTATCTTCAGTTAGAGTGTGAGGGAGAGAGAGAAAGAGAGAGCGGAAGAAACATCAATGTGAGAGAGACATTTTGACTGGTTGCCTCCCACATAACCCTGACCAGGGCCAGGGACCGAGCCACAACCGAGGTACAAACCCGTGACTCTTTGGTCCACAGGCCGACGCTCAAACCGCTGTGCCAAATCACCCAGGGCTCAAAACTCAATTTTAATGGTGTCTAAAATCAAGATATTTAGGAATAAATTCAACATGAACATGTAATACCTCTACAATGAAAACTATAAAACATTTCTGAAAGAATATCTACATAAATGGAGAGATAGATCATATTCATTGATTTAAAAACTCAATATTGGCTGGATGTCATTTTTCCCTCAATTGATTTATAAAGCCAACAAAATTACAGTAAAAATCCCATCAGATATCTTGGAGAAATTGAGAGATGACTCCAGCATTTCTACAGAAATTCAAAGAACCCAGGATATTCAGACTGCTCTTGAAAAAGAAGAACAAAGTTGGAGAATGTTCACTACTTGACTTATGTGATGAAAGCAAGTGAGTGGAAGAAGCTGGTACCAACAAAAACCCATCTGGTGAGGGTGGCGTTGCTCTAGCGAAGCGGGCAAAGGTTCTAACTACAGTGTCTGTGTTTAACTCCATTGGCATCACGTGCTGCAGATGATGTCCAGCAGTGTGTGCTGGTCTGTGTGCTGGACCACTTCCGTGGTGTGATTTTAGGCATGTAGCCTCTAAGTGGTGTGTATAATCCTCCTGATGATTCTATGTGCTACTTGATAATCTATGATAAATTCATTTTCTGCTTAAATTCGCAAAAGATGTTTCTTTTAATAACAACATGGAACCCTGACTGATCCGAATATATTTGTATCAGTCAGGGGGAAATAAAGAAGGATGTAGGGACAAAGGGTGACTGAGGCTGTCTCCTGGATAAAGGGAAAAGAATGAACTTCTTAGAGGAAGTAACATTTGAACAGAGACCATATTATTCCATTTTAGTTTGCTTAAAAAAAAAAAGTGTTCCGTGTGTGTGTGTGTGTGTGTGTGTGTATGAGCACAGAAAATTGTGACAGGATGATGATAGCTCCCAAAGATATGTCCACATTCCAATCTCTGGAATTTGCAAATGTTACCTTATTTGGAAAAAGGATCCATGTAATGTGGTTAAGTTAGAGATCTTGAGGTGAGGACATCATTTTGGATTTTGGCTCAGTGGGTTAATATTCAACTTCTGGCCTTTAGGACTATGTTGTTTTGAGCTACCAGGTTTGTGGTAAATTGTTATAGCAGCCACAGAAAAGTAATAAAATAATATGGTCAACTGTAGCCCTCATTATCTGGAGGAAAATACCTTTTATATAAATTTAAAATAGATGGACAAAAAACAAGAATATTAATTTCATGAAAATATATACAAAAATATTTGTATTAAACAAACAAGAATAATTGCTGATGGGAAGGGAAATGGGAATGGAGATAGAGGGAAATCAATGACAACAGAAATAAAAAATTTAGTTGAAAATTTGCACTGAGTAGATAGAGCATTCTGTGCTAGGTGAAAGTCCTCCTGCGTATGCCTTGATATACTTATTTGGTTGTTGCATGGAATATATTCTTAGGAAATGAATTTGTGGATCAAATGTATACATTGTTAGTATTCTTGGTACCCAATGCAGAACTAGCTTCCAAAATGGAACTAACTAACCAGCAGTGAAGAAAGGAACTGTTTCCTCCTTTGTTTTGCCAATTGAATAAGCAAAATTGTGGCCACATTTTATTTTGCATTTTGTGGATTATTGAAGAGTGTGAACATTTCCAAAATGGTTATGGGGCATATGTGTTTTGTGTGTGTGTAAGTTTTATACTCATATGTAATCAAAGTGATTATTGCTTCCCTATTAAAATGTGAAATGTCTATCTCTCACTTTCTCTTGAAAACACACACAAAAAAAATTTAAAAAAATAAAAAATTTGGACAAGAAAGTTGGGGAAACTTCCTATAAGATGGAGCAAAGAGAAAAAGAGATGAAAAGTAGAAGAGATAAAGACTAACATGAGGACTAGTCTAGGTGACCCAATATCTGCATAAACAGTAGTCCAGAACAAGAGAACAAAAGAGGAATGTAAGATCAAAGAAATAATTCAAGGCAATTCTCCTGTACTGTTTGATGTTAGATTGGAGAGAGAAGATAGAGTAAAATGACATTGGAGAACTTTACAGGGTTAGATCATAAAGATTCTGGAAGGTCACTTTGAGGAACCTTTGCTAGAGCTAATCCTTCTGTTTAGAATGGCTACGAAGGCTCTTTTGACCTGCCCAGGAATTTTTCCATAATCTTCAAGACCCAAGGTAACATCACTGTGCCAGGAAGCCATCCTGGACTCATTTAACCAAAGTAAATAGTTCTTCCAATATATATCATAGAACTCATTGCATTAGAGTAAATTATTAACTGGTGTCTGCTTCATCTCCTAGAAGGAGATATGCTATTTGAGGGCAGAAGCCAGTTGGGGCTCATTCATCTTTAAAGTCACAATGATGGTAACTCAGTAGTCTTTTGTCTTTTCTTGGAGCGGTAAGGTGAAGATCAAGTGATACCTCTGTTTTTGTGCCATCAAGTTGAGGGCGAGAGTAAGGCACCAACCATCACGTTCAAGTACCAAGCACTCCACACAGTTTATCTCGAATACTCACAGCCACCCTGCAAGATAGACATTATATCTCAAGTATACAGGTGGAGAAACTGACCTTGCCACCCAAAGTCACAGTTTAGGAAGTGCCCTGGATTGAAACTCAGAAGTTTGCCTCCAGAGGTCTTGTTCCCAGCCACTCTACCCCCATCCCTCAATATTCATTATACTTTTTGCAAATATTTTTCCACTTCTGGTACTTCACATCAGTTCATTCTACATAATTTACTCACTGTGAAAACTAATGCATTCTTTTTTTTTTTTTTAATCCTCACAGGAGGGCATTTTTCCATTTTTTGTTCAGATAGAGTGGGAGGGAGAGAGAGGAAGAGAGAAAGAGAGAAATATCCACGTGAAAGGGACACACCGAGTGGCTGCCACCCACACGACCAACCAGGGCCGGGGACAAACCACAGCTGAGGTCTGCGCTCTTAGCGGGAACCGAACCCACATCTCTCTGGACCGCAGGTCGACGCTCTAACCGCTGAGGCAAACCGGCCAGGGCAAAACCAATGCATTTTTTAAAAGAGTCCACCTCTAGTGGGTTTGGCTCGGCGGTTAGAGCATCGCCCTCGGACCGGAGAGTCCCGGGTTCAGTTCCCGCTAAGGACAAGCACCGCGGTTGCAGTTTGCCCCCCTCCCGGTTTTGGTTGTGTGGGTGGCAGCCAGCGTCCAAGTCTCTCTTCTCTTCTTCGCTCTCTCCCTCCCGCTCTATCTGAAGCTGAATGCAGAAATGTCCTTGGGTGGGGATTTTAAAAAAAAGCCCATATAAGCCTCCTTTTCTAATTCACATTTGTTCTTTCAGTTACTGTACTCTATCGTCTGTGTCCCCATAAACGTCCTTTCTTTTAGTAGGAATACATTTACCGATTTTAAAGTAGGGGGTTCAACGCTATGGAACACAGACTTGCCCCTCCTATGTTTATTTTTTCCTGTGCAGGATGAAAGTACAGCACACGCAGACGGTGGCGTACAGTGAGAGCCTGTGCCTTTAAATACAAAGAAAGGCCGGCCCCGCCCCCGGGAGCGCCACCTAGTGCTCCGGGGCTGCCAGGGGCTGCGGGCTGCGCGCCGCCCGCGGGCGATCGGGATGCCGGGGCGCCGCTGAGCCGGCCGCCCGCCCCTCGGTCTGCGCCCGCCCCGTCCTCGCAGCTGGCGTCCCAGGGCTGGGACCCGGAGCGGCCGCGCCGGAGTTCGCGCACCGCGCATGGACGCGCCAGGGGACCCCGAGGGCCCACGACCCCCAGGAGGTGACAGAGAGCGGCGCGGCGCGGAGGCGCCTCGTTGGCCTGGGTCCTTGCTCTTTACCTCGAATTAGCTTGGTTTGTCTAGGAGACGACCGAAAGGGCTGGGGCGGCCTGACTGTGGGGTTCAGCGCAGCGCACTTTAACCCTCTGGAAGGGGTTCCAATTCCGGGGAGTGGCGTCGGTGTGGTCTCTACTTTCTTCTCTTTCGCTCTGCTTTTCAGTGCTGTGTTTCGAATGCATTCTAGCAAGTAATGCCGTTAGACAGACGGAAAGCGGCACGTTTGGAGCCCCGACTGTTCCCACCTTTTAAACTTAGTGTAATTAGTGTAAAAAAAAAGTAGTGATTTACAGATTTGTGAGACTTGTCTTCCCAGGAGCATACCATTGCATTAATTCACCTGTCAAATGCTTCAGTTTGTTTTCTCCCTACATCTCACTTAACATCAGCACTGCCCTGGAATGCTTAACAAACAGTTGACCTGACATGCGTAAAACAGTGAGTTCATGTAGCAGATGAATGAAGGTAGTAACTTGAGAAATCACATTATGCTTCAGAGAGCAGTACCCTTTGGACAGTATCCTGTTCCCTCATCCTTATTGAATGTATTCGAGGTAAAAGAAGTAGGCTTTATGGTGAAGGCAAAAAAACAGAGCAGATGGTTTGATAAATTCTGCACTGATATTCTAATAGGGAATGCTATGTTGACGAAAGTGATATGCTTTCAAAATTGCAGTGATGTACAGTGATTGTGTTACATATGATCACATGTGCTATATTCAAAATAGCCCCCAGCTCAGTAAATGTTATCTGCCGAGTGTCCAGTCTATGAATAGAAGTGACATTGGTGTACCTCAATCAGTAGTTCCAACTACATGCCTGTAACTGCAGTGTGTTGCATTTAAGGTGATGGCCCTGCAGCAAATGCAAGAGAGACACCCAACCGGCTTTCGAAAGAACAGCTTTTTGTACTGATATCTGCAGCTTCCATTAACTTCGGCTCTATGATGTGTTATTCCATCCTTGGACCCTTTTTCCCCAAAGAGGTGAGAAATCTTTACATTCTAGTAACTACTAATTTTTAAAATTATTTTAAAATGTTGAATTATTTAATTTTACAATATGTAAAATGTAAAGATCTGCATAGAGTAAAGATGATGTGTAGAACTTGAGCAAATAGAAGACTTCTTATAGAATTTTCGATACCAGAAAAAGAAGATACAGTGAAAAAGAACACCATCTTGGGAGGTAATTCACCTAAATATAATTGATCTCCTTTACTTACTATGTAGTTTGATGAAACTTTATGTGGTTTCTGAAATTGAAAAAAAAGGGCTGCACTGAATAACTGAGATTTTAATATTACTGCAAAAGGTCCATGTTAAGACAGTAAGGGAAACCATGGCCCACTAAATTCTCTTTTCTGACTTGAATTTCTTGTGGCATCTAGAGGTAATGTTTGTGCCAAGGAAGATTTCAGAGTAATCTTGACTAGTTCCTTAGTCTATTCAGAGCTTTTTATTTGGTGTTAGGGTCCACAGATTTGAAATCCCCTAGAAAATCCACCTGGCCTCTGGAGGTTGGCTGGACATAGTGTGAAAGCGATGGATGGTACTGGCTTGGCTGAGTGGAGAGAACATGCCCACATGTTTTACTTGGTGTTCTTTGTCCAAGCCCCAGTAGCCTGGCTCCTCTCAGTCCTCTAACTGCTTTGATAACACGTAGAATGATAACTTCACTCAGTGTACAATGAAGGAGAATAAAAAGGACTTCTCTGCTAAAGAACAATAGGACTTTGTACCTATTCAGTGCTGTTTCATTTCCAGGATACTTTCCCACACATTTAGCTCAGTTACTCTCGGCAGCTACTCCACAAGATAGGCAGAGTAGTGAGAATCTCATCATGTTGTGAATGAGGAAACAAACTCAGAAATTAAGTGACTGGCCCAATCTAGTTCTGTTCACTGAATAGGAGTCCTTCCCATTCTAGAGTGTGCTAGGCTTTGGATGCTAAGGCAGAAAAAAGGATCAGGAAAATGCCCTTCTCTTGTCTGTTCATGAGGAGTGAAAAAATGTTAAAAATAAAACTTTGCAGAGTGTTTGGACATCCTTTAAGAAAAGTCTGTACAAAATGTTATGAGACTTTAGAGGAAGAATTGGTTAATTTTACCATGGGTGAGGATAGGGGTTGGGAGGGAAGGGAAAGAAAGGGACTTCACAGGATAAATCTAAGGTAGGTCTTGAGAATTGGTAGTTTCCCAGATGAACAACAGACAGGGTGTTCCAGGAAACAGCTTGAGATAGTCACAGGATTAGCAGAGTAAATTGCTTGTTCTTGGGAAGCAGCAGACAACTTGTAGCATGGGCCTGGTGGAGTGAGGTCTGCCAGGAGGCAGAGGTTCTGAGGGGGCAGGTTGGAATTAGAATGCAAGGGTTCTTACATGCATGTCAAAGATTTAGTCAGTGAGATGTCATCAGAGGTGTTTGAGTAACACAGAGTGGCCTGGCCAGATTTGGGTTTTGGAAAAAAATAATGATGGCTGGGAGCCTGTGGAATTAAGATGCAGAAGAACTGGAAAGCGGGCCAACCAGTTAGAAGGGCATTCCATCCTCCAACCCTCCCAGCTGGAACTCAGTGACATTAACTAATGCCAATTTCTTCTTAGTGGAACACAGACAAAGGAAAACCAGGCCGTGTGTGTGTGTGTGTGTGTGTGTGTGTGTGTGTGTGTGTCTTAAGTTTTTTATTTAGCTTTTTGCTGGGAGAAGGGAAGGCTGAAGGAAAGAACACAGAGGCATCGGAGAGAGCATCCCAACTTTAAAAGACGTAGAAATGAAGAGTGGGCTCTTCCTTTTCATTTCTTACTGAAGCCTATGCCCTGCCCAAAGTTACCTTCCCCCGAATGGTCTGTCATCCTTCCTATTAGCCAGAGCTAATTAGGCAAAGGAAGAACAGGGCCCTTCTTAAATTCCTGTTTCTGCTCATCCTTTTTCTGGCACCTTCTTCCTTTGTCATAGGAGTCCCCGTGAACACAAAGTTGCTCTATTAAGCTGTTCTTGCTTTTCTAATGTGAAGCAGGAGCCATGCTCTGGTAGTCGTCAGCTGCTGCTGTGGCATGTGATTCCAGGACATCCTGTCACCATCCTGATTCACGGTGAATGTGGGAACTCACACAGGATGGAAACGGTCATGGCAGCAGTAATCGGAAACTGCATGGCTGAGTCCTTATCTAGAAAACGGGGCTAAAAATACATCCCTTATTTAGTTTTTCTTAGATACCATGTAAAACAGCACTTAATAGGATTCTGGCTCATAGTAAGGGTCCAATAAATGTTAGTTGCTATAAACATTACATATTCTCTTCCAGACTCCCAAATTAAATACTTGGAACTATTAAGCAAAAAATCATGGCTAATGTAACTTGGCCAATGAATGTTCTTTCTGCATCTTCATGGACTCCTTTGGTAATACCTGCCCTTTGAGATACCTGTTTTAGTTTGCTAGGGTTGTCATAACAAAGTATCACAGGCTGTGTGGTGGCTTAAACATCAGAGATTTATTGCCTCACAGTTCTGGAGACTAGAAATCCAGGATCAAGGTGTCAGCAGGGTTGGTTCCTTCTGAGGGCCATGAGGGAAGGGTCTATTCCAGTTCTTTTTCCTTGGCTGTGTCTCTTCATGTGGTCTCTGCAATATAAGCATCTCTGTGGCCAAATTTCCCCTTCTGATAAAGATACAAGTTATTTTGCATTAGAGCCAACCCGCTGACCTAGTTATATTGTTAATCCATGTAAAGGCTCTGTCTCCAAATAAGGTCACATTCTGAGGTACTGGGAGTTTGGACTTCAACATACGAAGTTTGAGGAACACAATTCAACTCACAACACTACCTAACCTTTGTGTAGTAGGAATGTCAACTTCATGTCCCAGTCTACATACAGCACAACCTTTTGCTAGGATGTCATCAATGATATCTTTTATAATGAGATCGCTCTCTTGTCTCCACACCATTATGTCATGTGGTTATTAGTAATGGAAGGGAAATGGCTGATTCTGAGTGCTTTAGAATCAACCTCTCCACTCTCTCCCACTACCAGGTAACTAGGGACTATATTCACCCAGGGCGGCGGGGGGTTGGGGGGTAACCTAAAGGTTAGCTGAGAGTAATAGAATCTAGCTATCTGCTTTCCGGTGATAATATGCTATGAGAAATGTAGGGTTTATTTAAAGAAACATTGTCTGACATGAAAATAACTTTTTGAAAATGACTAAGATTGAATGATGATGGTAACTTTACATAGAAAGCCAGGGTGTAAATTTTGTCTTAACATTGTAGTTCAGGAGAAAAGGTAAAGAAATGTGATGTTGCTGTTGTAGAGAATGGATTTTTTTTTTATCCTCTCCCAAGGACATTTTTTCGATATTTTGTTCAGATAGAGTGGGAACGAGGGAGAGAAAGAGAAAACCATCGACGTGAAGGGACACATCGAGTGGTTGCCACCCGCACGACCCAACCAGGGCCGGGGACAAACTGCAACCGAGGTACGTGCCCTTAGCGGGAACTGAACCCAGGTCTCTCCAGACCACAGGCCGATGATCTAACTGCTGAGCAAAACTGGCCAGGGCGAGAATGGATTTTGAGGGGTGCAGGAGGAATGTGTGTGGGCGCATATGCACTTCTGTATTAACAGTGAAGTTGTTTGTAAAAAAGCTGAAGCTCTGGCGAAAGGATGAATCTAAATTGCATCTTCCGATGATAAGTATTCACTGCTGGCTCCCAGTACAATGCTCAACACATACAAGTATTCAATAAATGACCATTGTTTGCCTGAGGGCAAAAAGAATTATGTAGTCCAGACTTCATACTTCATAGTATGCCACGTTGCTAAACCTGTCTTAAAGAAATTCAGCTCATGTTAACTTCTTAAGTGGCTATAGCGAGAACCTGATATAAAGATCTACTATATTTCCAGGGTTTAAAAAAGTTTTTCTAACCTTCTATTTTTGTACATGAATTCACTTGTACATCACAACTAATAGTATCATTTGACGTTAAAAAGAAGTAGACTTAGAATAAATCTTCTATCATCTGTAGCAAATGTAGGGACTCACTGATAGGCTATAAATATTAACAGGTAGAGTTGATGGATGATCTACTACTCTAGGTGCTTCAGAGAACACGGAAAGTTGGGAAGACCAGGAGTATCTTTCTCTGTGTTGATGATGCAGGAAAGAAAACGTTGGCTTTTCTAAATGGTAAGGTAGTTGGTATTGATATCAGAAACAGAACTAGACTGAATGGGCCTTGGTATGACTCATGTTCCTGCTCAAGGAACTTCCTATTCTTGACTGGCAGAAGGTTGTGTGTGTGTGTGTGTGTGTGTGTAGTTTGATCCTATAATTAAATGTGACACTGAGTAGGAAAAACTTCCTCCTGTGTGTCTCTCCTTCACCCTCACCCTTCTGACACCAGATGTGTAGGGTTTCTCACACACCAAGTCGTTCTCTCTGATGCCTGCTGGGCGTCCTGTAATTCACCGCAATTCTGACGGACCCCACAGCTTGAGGTCCCACTTCCACAAGGCATGCCAATGCAAGTAGAGGGTCCCTAGGTTGCACACTACTTCTGTCTGACTTGGCTACAGACTGGAGGTTCCCACGACCTCCCTATCTACCCCCTTGGATTGATTATGTGCCAGAGTGGCTCACAGAACACCGGGAAATACTTGTTTACTGGTTTATTATGGAAGGATCTGATGAAGTATACAGGTGAATATCCTGCTGGAAGAGATGCACAGGGCAAGGTGTGGGGGAAGGGGCATGGGGCTTTCATGCCCTGTCTGGGCGTGCTAATCTTTCAACCTTTCCACCTATTCGCCAACCTGGAAGCTCTCCAGTTTTGTAGAGGCTTCATCACATAGTTAATCAATCATTAACTCAATTTTCCAGCCCCTCTGTAGAGAAGGGGGCGGGGGGATGTAGCTGGAGATTCTAAGCTTCTAATCATGGCTTGGTCTTTCTGGTGACCAGCTCCCACCCAGGAGCC